TTATTACTCCCAAACCTCTAGCCTCAATGGTTTCATTGTTTTCAACAGAATCAGTGATTATATAGAAGGTTACAAATAGACATCATCTAAACGTGTTTTTTCTTTATTAGCTGGCCCTTTTCTTTTGTTATTTAATTGTAAAAGAAAGGCTGGAAAGATGGCCCAGAAGTTAAGAGCAGGTAATGTTTTTGCAGAGGACCCAAGTTGGGTCTCATGCTGGTTAGTTGATAATGGCCTGTAACTGCAACTCCAGGAAATTTGACTTCCTCTTCTGTTCTCCACATGGTGAACATAAACTCAAGCAGAGGCACACACATACACATAAAATAAAAATAATGAAACAGCATAGGTTTTAAATAGCTTTAAATTCACTGAGTTATCTATTACCACTGCTCTAATTTTATTGCTAAAACTGTTCTTAAAAGACTCTTCAATATGTTTTCAATGTTCATTACTACAACTCTCTCATCCTTCAAACACTTTCTTTCTGCCTGTCACCATAGTGTATTTGAAGTCCATCTTATACAATTCCTACTTCAGGTTATAATTAAACATTTCCTCCAAGAGTTTCCATTTTCTTTTAGTGGGCAATAATTTTAGAATATTTTCTTAAGGTACATGTATGATTTATAAATAAAAACACATACATTGAAGGTGCATGTCTGTTTATTCTTTCTTGAGTGATGTTCCCAACTAGTACAACGATTAATGCTTTTACCCTGTATTTGAAGCTGAGTAACTCCTTGAGGCATTTAGTTTATCATCCTTCATTTAATATGAATGAAAATCTTCTTTAATACCTTTGCAATAGGGAAGAAAGATCGAATTCAACTCTATGCCCAACTTTTATTTGTTCATACCACTTCCACCAAGCCTTGGATAGGGAAACAAGGGAAACAATTTTAACAACTCTGCAAGTATTGAGGATCTGCTGCCTTGTGCTACTAGTGCCTATCCCATCCCACATGCTTGGGAGGCATGCATTTTATATGGCGGAGTTGCATTTCACTGTGAAAATTACCACTTTCTGAGTGACAGCCCCTGCTTAGTCTTTAAAGCATTCTCAAAAAAAAAGTGTCTAATTCCCTCTCAACTACCCAACGCTATTACACTAGCTTCCTTGGGACAGTGAGTTGCATGACAAAGTCCAGGTGAAGGCGAGTGCATGACACGACAAGAAGAGAATCGTATTAAAGAGTCAGCCTACTGTTTAGTCCTTTCTTCTCCTCATTTCTTCTGTCATCTCCATTTACCCAACATCTCCTATTTCCTGCTTCCTTCTATATTCTCCCTTAACTTCCTTTCTTTGTGTCTTTTTCTTTTTTCTCAACCTGTCCCTCCATCCAGCCATTTTCCTGAGGATTCTGCTTTGATCACAAGCCTAAGTTATAATCCAGAAGAAATTAGAGTATATTCAGATTCCCAGGACGAAAAAAAAAAAACACAGGAACCATTAATGTGGGGAGAAATAGGAAAAGAATGACTGTAATATGTCACATATTTAAAAGAAAAGAGTTGAATCTTCTGCAAGAACCACTAACCTATTTGCTGAGAAATAACTCTGAGGGATGGGGTAGAGGAGAGAGACAAGGATCTGGGAGGAGTTGGGAGACGAAACTGTATGATCAGAATATATGGTATGGAAAAAACTTTTTGAAAGATTCCACTTCTCTATGCTCTGGGTTATAGGCATCTTACAATCAGCTATTAGCAGCCTCACATTTTTTCAAGGAGGACTGTAGGTGCTATTCTCAATGGAAAATAAATATGAGGTTTTGTGGTTTTGTCAAAGTTTATCTGTAGGATTCTAATTTAATTTCAGGAAACATACCTCAGAGACTATTTTGCTCATTTTGTTTTTTTTTCTAGACCAGTCTTCCTTGTAAAGTGAGCATTTGGATTGTACTGGGAGTTTTAAAGGGTTAATGTTTGACAATTCCTACTGACTACAGTAGATAATTAGAGACAAACAAGGGGTGAAATATTTGAATAAAATAATGAACTAAAACTATCATCTGACTTATCAATTGAGTAAAAGTCATGCCTTTCTATGGATGAAGGTTTCCAATATTGGACAGAGGAGTCAAATCAGTTTGAGTCTTTGACACATTAATTTTGTGAAGACCACCCTTCACCCTTTCCAATGTTGACACAAGAAAAATGAAGCACAGATGTTTTCAGAAGTGGGAAAGAATTACCAAGAGCCTCGTATTATCAGCACAGTGAATTTGCCCATCTACAGAAGAATGATTATTGCTAAGTGTGTAATAGTGAAGCCCCCCCTCATTTGTGAGACCCTAGGAAGAAGAGATTCTCCTCCAAGTTATATATTGACAACCAATAGCAAGTGTCTGCTGAGCTCCTACTTAAGCATATGTAGAACAAGGGACTTGGGACATTTTGCATGATATAGAAAGAAATGGAAAGAAGTCAGAATCTTCATACTGGAGGAAACTGATGAAAAAGTCAGGTAGAAGAGGCATACCCATAAAAACTAGAAAGCAATAAATTAATGTTTGGCCAATTGGTGCAGCCCATAATCCAAGTTACTCAAGGAAGCAGAGGCAAGAGAACTGCAAGAGTGAGGTCTACCTGGGCTATAGAGTATGTTCAAGACAAACCTAGGCAATTTACAAGGATTGTCTCAAAATGAAAAGCAAAAAGAAATATGGGACTATATAGAGGGCTTGCCTAGCTTGCATGAACAAGGTCTTGGTCCAATACTCCATACCACAAATAATTAACTAAAGACAGTGCATACTAAGTGTAAGATGAGAAGAGCTGATAACCCTATAAAAATTCAGCTATGTTAGGAGGAAGAATGAGAGTGTTTGATGCATTAATTAGTCTGCAAAATATTCAAGATGACAAACTAGGAATTGTAAGGATCGAATTCAGATGTATGCAGACTGGACTGAGCATGAAGAAAGAGGGAGGGAAACAGAGATGAAATGGAGATTTCAGCATTTTCATATGTATTCCTTGAGTACAAAGAGGCGGCTTGTTCTTTTAAGGGTTGGAAAGGATACAGGAGAAATGTGGTAGTTTGAAGGAAATCGGTCCCCATAGTCACATAGGGAGTGGCACTGTTAGGAGGTATGACTTTGATGGAGTGGATATGACCTTGCTGGAGGAAGTATGTCACTGTGGGGGCAGGATTCGAGGTATGCTCAGGATACTTCCAAGTGTCTCAGTCAACTTCTTGTTGCCTGCAAGATATAGGTCTCTCAGCTACTAACCCAGCACTACACCTGCCTGCATGCCTCCATGTTCCCTGTCATGATGATAATGGACCGAACCTTGGTAACTGTTAGCAAGCTGCCCCCAATGAATTATTTCCTTTATAACAGTTGCTGTGGTCATGGTGTTTCTTCACATAAATAGAAACCTTAACTAAGACAGGAAACTATCCTGGGAATAAATATGGTGGCAGCTTCAAATGGCCATTGTAGTTGACTATTTCATATAAGGCTCTTTTGGTCACAAAAATGTAAGCCACTTAATGTAACTCAAGAAAAAAGGCAATGACAGAATGTTCCAATTATAACACGAGGTTGTATGTTCAAAAGTAGCTCATAGGTCAGAAATGAAGGACTCTCTGTGACTTAGGGCCACATTGTCTCTGTTTCCTCTCATGTCTGCTTCATCCTTTTTTGTTTCCAGTCCACCTACTCTCTTTCCTTATCTTCTCCAGAGTTGAAGCATGGCTCCTCTGATCACTTCTTTGACAGCAAAAATCTTTTCTCTACAGTATCAATCATTAACTAGCTATATTTTCTGGTTAGATGTTTAAGAGAAAGAGAATCTCTTCTATACCTGAGTAAACAGTTTATTAGCTGGTTCAGCTCAGCTATCCACCTCAATAGACCATTGACTTCAGGCTTGTGCCTGCTTCCCAGAGTCCTTAACCCAAGGCAGCAATGGTACAGGTACCTCACAAAACAGTAAGAGCTAGCTAAGGCAGAAGGAAGAGAATAAGACGGTGAAGCGAAGATCAGTTTGCTAATTACAGGCCTCCTTCTGGGTGTAGCATTTTCAATGGCCTATTCATTCCTCAATCTTTGAAAGAAAGAAGAGAAATGTTGAAAATATTTAATGACTTCAGGTTCCTAGAAATGGATGTGAACATTCAAAATGAAGACTGTTTCTCTCTTTAGGTAACAATTTGCTTTGTTATTCATTTCTGCAATTTATTAAGAAATCTGAAAGGAACATCAGCTTTTCTGAGAAACACTCTTAAAATCAAGTCACAGTGAATTGTGTGGCACAGTAACTGCGGATATTAACAATGTATTATATGCTTGAAAATCAGAGTCAATTTTAATTGACTTCATAGAAACAAAAACCAGATAACTACGCGAGATAATACATATTCTAATTAGCTCAAGTCTTTGTATAATGTATATATATTTTGAAACATAATATTGTACACAATAAATAAATATATATAATTTTTAAAGGGAAAAATCTCATGGGAACCCTTGCCTAGACAAAAACAACTTCGGGCATCTAAGGAATGATGAGAGGGGAAGAAATAGTTTTCCCCAGAGAAGACTTCACCTAATTGGTTATTCAATACCAAACATTCAGTCCAGAAATTATATACATACAAGTAACATTAAATTACTGAGCACATTGTATTATATATTTAGGAATATGTGTGTGTGTGTGTGTGTGTGTGAGAGAGAGAGAGAGAGAGAGAGAGAGAGAGAGAGAGAGAGAACATAATTTTACTTCTCAAGGCATACATTATAGGCCAGCTAGAATGAGGCAAGGGACATGATCAGGTTGCCAAATTTTAGCAGGCAATTTCAGAAGGCACTCACTTTTGGGGTTATGAGAATTCAGAGTAAATATTTTCATGACTTAATGGTGAATACTTCCTTAAATTTTGCACCTCAGCAGCTTAACTTGCTTCACCTTGGTCCTAGCTGTGGGATCATCTATAATGATGTTGAATAATTTACATAGACCCATTCGTTTCCTTTTTGCTGCCCCAGGTACAAAGCCATTGTCCGGCCAATGGATATCCAGGCATCACATGCCCTGATGAAGATCTGTCTCAAAGCTGCCTTGATCTGGATCATCTCGATGCTGTTGGCCATTCCAGAGGCTGTGTTTTCTGACCTCCATCCCTTCCATGTGAAAGATACCAACCAAACCTTCATTAGTTGTGCCCCCTACCCACACTCTAATGAGCTGCACCCCAAAATCCACTCTATGGCTTCCTTTCTGGTTTTCTACATTATCCCACTGTCAATCATCTCTGTTTACTACTACTTCATTGCCCGAAATCTGATTCAGAGCGCCTACAATCTTCCCGTGGAAGGCAATATACATGTCAAGAAACAGGTGGGTGCTTACTGTCGGTTCATTTTCCTCCTTAGGTACTTGGCCTCTTGCACTAATTCTGAATCTTAATAACAAGTATGGTGTGTAAGTGACCACTTACTTGATCTTGAGATTCTAGGAAGTGAGTGATGCCTCTTTAGGGGCTTTGGGTTATTTCTGTGATAGGGCACTTGCATAGCATACTCTAGGCCCCTGGATTCAGTCCTCTGGAACTGTGAAAAAAATAATTTCAGGGACTCCAATGGTTTCTATAGATTTATCTTTTAATTTTAATCATGCTGTTTGACCATGAAGAGAGGGACCACACAGATAAAGCAGAGGGAGAGGAAAATGAGACTGGGTGAGGAAAAAGATAATCTGGTTAAAAACAGCTAGAGAGTTGACTAAAGTCAAAGGACATGACATGCTTGAACACCAATGTCTTCATGAAAACCATCTCAATCTAGGCAATGCATACCTAGGCTTGCAGAATGATTGACTCAAATCCAAATTTGAGTTTCCCTTTTGAGGCCTCAGTTTTCTTATCACTGTTATAATGGTGATACTTTCTATTTTGTAAGGTTATTGAGAGTATAAGAGAGGATGTATAAGAGCTACAAGTCCCAGAATGCAGAATAACCCCCTATGTCACTCCACCTCTATCTCCATAGAGCCCTGAAATTTTATCCTAGAGGGACAAGTAGAAACTAAGGATTCTGGTTTTCCTTTTTGTCAGTATTTTAATTTTTTGATTTATGTATTTTAACTTGATGTATATGACTGTTTGCCTGAAATGTATGTGCACCATGAGTGTGCATGGTACCCATGGAAGTTTGAGGAGGGCATTAAATCCCATAGGAGTAGATTTATATGTGGTTGTGAGCCACCATGTGTGCAGGGAACTTAACCCAGGTCCTTTTTGAGCCACCTCTCCAGCCCTAGCCACTTCTTTTTGCTTCCTATCCCAAATGCAGATCATATGTATGTATGTATACACACACACACACACACACACACACACAAAAGACTTCCCAACTCCATGGAAGTGAATAGCCAATTTCTTTTTTTGTCCCTTTTTTTCTTTATTCGAAGAACTAACACATTTTTTTGTTTTTTAATTTATTTATTTTTTATTGCAAATTTCCACCTCCTCCCCTCCTCGCACTTCCCTCCCCTCCCCCCTCCCCCTTCCCCTTCCCCTCCCTCTCCAGTCCAAGGAGCAGTCAGGGTTCCCTACCCTATGGGAAGTCCAAGGTCCTCCCTGCTCCCCCCAGGTCCAGGAAGGTAAGCATCCAAACAGACTAGGCTCCCACAAAGCCAGTCCATGCAGTAGAATCAAAACCCAGCACCATTGTCCTTGGCTTCTCAGTCAGCCTCCACCGTCAGCCACATTCAGAGAGTCTGGTTCCCCTTCCAAAGTTCGTTCCTTACCAAGGAGAAATAACAGTTGTCAGTACAACTGACTACCTATTTGAAAGGCCTTTAGTAAACAAACACCCACTCTACCCCAAATTGTTTAAAGAGGAAGAAGTCCCCCCTTGAAGTCACAAAGGTAGTTAAGCACAAAAAGAGATGTTCACTCTGCCTTGAATAATCACCTTCCTCACTGTGTCATCCAGAAATAGCTAGAGACTGAAAAATAATAATACAGACTTATCTCAGCTTGGCCAATGAGGAAGAATAAAGCTTGCTGCTGTCTTGAGCATCAGAGGGGATAAGAAATAATTAACTGTAAAGAAAGGCATGAAGTCGAATGGCTGATAAACTGCCCCAATGCTCTCTGGAGGGAAAAGAGGGCATTTAATAGCATTTCATTGTGCAATCCATTCAAGCATGTAATCAACTTTATTTAAAGATCTGGTCTCAGCAGTATGATGTAACTATTTTACCTCACGTGTTTCTGCTTCCTGCCTTATCAATCTCTGTTTCTGATTTAGCTCCCCCCCCCATTATCTTCATCTCCAATTGAACTCTTTCTGGCAGCTCTGCTCCCTCATCCATTTCCCTGTCCCTGTTTGTCTTCATCCCTCTAACACTGCACCCCCTCTTCCTCTTTCTCTGCTCAGATCGAATCCCGGAAGCGACTTGCCAAGACAGTACTGTGTAGGGATAAGTCCCGCCCCTTAAGGGGCGTGTTCGCCTCGGGCTAATGTCTGCCTATAAATTTGGCGAGCAAGCTCCGAGCACTTGCTTCTGCTTTCCTGGTCTCCACGGGAACGGTGGTTCTGTAAGTCTATTTCTACATTAAAGCTATATATATATATTTTTACACTCTGTCTGCATTCGTTTACGCCGCTACATTTTGGCGTCCAACGTCGGGCTATTTTGCCCCCGACTCAAGCGGGTAGCCCTCTAGCTAACACAGCACTCTCCTGGGTGCTGTTTTTCAGTTCTTGACTCCGGCCCCAGTGCGGAGTCCGAGACACACTCGGCGACACAGGCCCATTCTGCCTGCCTTGGCTAAGTTTTGCAGCGGAACCCCACTGCCTGAATTAGCAGAAGCTCAAGTACTTGCGGTTTTGCAACAAAAGCTGCCACAGCGTCAGATTTGGTCTGTTACAAAGTGACTTGGCCGGTTGTGGTGGCCCACGCCGGTAGGATTTGCTGAAGGAGGCAGAGGCAGGAGGATCACAAGTTTGAGGCTGGCCAGGCAGTGGTAGAGCACGCCTTTAATCCCAGCACTTGGGAAGCAGAGACAGGCAGATCTCTGTGAGTTTGAGGCCTGCCAGGCCTTGGTAGTGCACGCCTTCAATCCCAGCACTTGGGAGGCAGAGACAGGCAGATCTCTGTGAGTTCAAGGCCAGCCTGGTCTACAAGAGCTAGTTCTAGGACAGGCTCCAAAAACACAGAGACCACCACTGGCAGGAACCGATCATTGCAGGTAAAAAAATTTTCTTTTATAAATAAAATGTCTGAACACATTACTGTTCAAGAATTTAATGATTTTTTTAATTGTACCATGTGGGAGATTTTACAAGAGGTGTCTATCACCCCACATATATGGATCCTTCTGGGATTCGTAGTTTTCATTGGCACCAAATGGTTTGATAATAGAAATATGATAAAGTCTTTACGAGACGAATCCAGGATTCTTAAGGTAGAGATTGAACGCTTAAAAACAATTGAGAATGATAACAATCTTCTCAAGAATCAGTTTGAAGTTCTCCAGGCTGATAACAATCTTCTCAAGAATCAGTTTGAAGTTCTCCAGGCTGATAACAATCTTTTCGAGAATCAGTTTGAAGTTCTCCAGGCTGATAACAATCTTCTCAAGAATCAGTTTGAAGTTCTCCAGGCTGATAACAATCTTCTCAAGAATCAGGTTGAAGTTCTTCAGGCTGATGTTAAGGAGAAATTCATTATTATGGAAGAGGGAACAGCTGATCTGGACCATAAGATTCAGTCCCTTTCTGTAGGAAATGAAACATTAACTGAGAGAATCAAAACTGCTGAATGTGACAATCGGATTTTGTCTAAAGCTTATGACAGATTGACGGAAAGATTGTCAATACAAGAAGGCACGGTTTATGCCATAAAAATTATGTCCAAAGATGAGATGTTATCTCTAACGGACAAACTTCATACTTTAGAATTCTCAATGAAGGCTTTGGAACATAATTCTGGACAGGAGATTCAGACATTGCAGAAGGCAATGGTGAATAGAATTGAAAAGATTGAGGAATTTCTAAATTCTGATGAGGAAGAGCAAAGGGTAGAAAGGCAAATTTTAACTACATCTGTGGGTAAGTCTCTCCGGGACAATTTCCACAAAGCTCTACCTACAGCTCTACCTGCCTTTCCAGTAATAACAACAGAGAAGGTGATTGGTTCCAAAAACCCTAGGGTCATCAAGGAGGATACATGGGAGCCTGTGCGTATGAATGATCTCAAGGAAATAAAACAGGCTGTCATGACTTTTGGGATGCAAGCCTCTTTTGTTAAAGAGATGCTAAGATCTTGGGCCATGACAAGCAGAGCAACCCCCTCAGACTGGCTCCAGCTGAGCTCTGCGGTACTCGAGAGTGGACCGCAATTGAAATGGAAATGCTTATTCAGGCAAGAGGCTAGACTCTTAGAACAGTAGGAAAAAGCGAAGGGAATTGACATTTCCCTAGATCAAATTCTAGGTGAAGGGCTCTTTTCCGATCCTCAGGAACAAGCTAATTTGGATGAAAACACACTCTCCATGTGTACTACAGCAGCCTTAACGGCTTGGGACAGGGTACAAGACCCAGGACAGAGAATGGAATCATTTGTCAGAGTTAAACAGGGTCAGAGAGAACCCTTTAGTGACTTTTTACAAAGATTAACTAAGGCTGTACAAATAGGAATATCTGACCCAGAAGCAAGACGTATAATGATTGAGTCTTTGGCTTATGAAAATGCAAATGTGGAATGCAAAAGGATTTTGGGTCCTTTAAAGCTCAGATCAGCGCCGTTGGAAGAATGGGTCTTGCATACACTCAGTGTTGATACATTTGATTATGGCACTGAAGCATGGGTAGAAGAAGCAATTTCCAATGGTAAAAGGAGACACCAGAATACCAAATGTTTTAATTGTGGAAAAATGGGTCATATTAAAAGGAATTGTAGACAACGGATTTTCAGAAATAATAATAATAATAATAATGCATCTTTCAGAAATAATAATAATAATGCATCTTCTAGAAATAACAGAAATAGGAGGACTCAGCTTTCAGGTTTATGTAGAAGATGTGGAAAGGGCAGACATTGGACGAATGAATGCAGGTCTACAAGAGATAGACAAGGCAACCTGATACAGCCGGGAAAAGTGAGAGGGGGGGCCTCACAGGCCCCCATGGCAAACATGGTTCAGTCATATCCAGTTTCTGCAGAGAACGTGCCTCATCAGGACAATTAGGAAGCCCCATGCCTACTGTTACAAGCAATAATGATCAGAAAGATAAGTTACGTGTGTTTTGGCAAACTTCTATAAATGATCAAAGACCTAAACTGAGAGTGTGTGTAAATGGCATTTTTATTACTGGCCTGCTGGACACAGGTGCTGATGTAAGTATCATTACCCCAGAATCTTGGCATCCGTATTGGCCTCTTCAGAATGTAAATGTTCAGCTCCTGGGAATTGGAACCCTATCTCGAGTAAGGCAGAGCATGAGATGGGTTGAATGTATAGGGCCAGAGGGACAAATAGGAAAATTAAAGCCATATGTAGCCAATATCGCAATGCATTTATGGGGTCGTGACCTATTACAACAATGGAATACTGAAATTAACATTCCTGCTAAATCTAGAGCCTATATTTCTGAGAATAATATTAAAAGATATTACAAACTGAGAAAACCGGCCATTCGGGCTGTACAAGAACAAGCAATTGATGTCCCTTCAGAGATACCAACAGCCTTGCCTCTAAAATGGTTGACTGAGAAACCAATATGGACAAAGCAATGGCCTTTAGCTGAGGAAAAGTTACAGGCTTTAGAACAGCTGGTACAAGAACAATTAGATGCTGGACATATAGAAGAATCTACCAGCCCTTGGAATTCTCCTGTATTTGTGGTTAAGAAAAAATCAGGTAAATGGAGAATGGTGACAGATCTCAGGGCCATCAACAAGGTTATTCAACCTATGGACCCTCTGCAATCTGGAATTCCTTTGCCCTCTTTATTACCAAAAGGATGGTCTCTCATAGTTATTGATTTAAAGGATTGTTTTTTCACTATACCTTTGCAAAAAGAAGATAGAGAAAAATTTGCCTTCACAGTGCCTACTTACAACAATTCTCAACCTTCGAGGAGGTTCCACTGGACCGTTCTCCCCCAGGGTATGTTAAATAGCCCCTCCCTGTGCCAATATTTTGTGAACCAACCATTGCAAATAATACGCAAGAAATTTCCCAAATCTATAGTATACCATTACATGGACGACATCTTGTTATCCGATTCAAACATGGATACCTTGAACAGACTGTTTGAAGAAATAAAGATACTTTTACCTAAATGGGGATTGCAAATAGCTCCTGAAAAGATTCAGAAGGGAGATTCTGTTAATTATTTAGGTTATAAAATAGGTTTGCAAAAAATTAAGACACAAAAAGCACAAATTAGGAGAGATCGCCTACGGACTCTTAATGACTTTCAAAGACTGTTAGGAGACATTTCCAGTCTACGACCAGCTATTGGAATAACACCTGATCTAATAATTCATTTGAACAAAACCTTGGATGGTGATAAGGATTTAAACAGTCCCAGAGAATTAACAGTTGAAGCAGAAAAGGAACTGACAATGATTGAGGAAAAATTACAACAGGCACATGTGGACAGGGTGAATCCAGAGCTCGATTGTATTCTCGTCATACTACCATCAAAAATTTCTCCTACAGGAATTTTAATGCAGAGAGATGATATTATTTTGGAATGGATCTTTTTACCACATAAACCAAGTAAGAAACTGAAAACTTATGTGGAAAAAGTCTCTGAGTTAATTATAAAAGGCAAGCTGAGACTTCGTCAACTAGCAGGCATAGACCCAGCAGAAATTATAGTGCCTTTCACTGCTGATGAACTAAAGAAATTATGGGAAGATAATGAACCATGGCAAAGAGCTTGTGCTAATTTTTTGGGAGACATTAATAACAACTATCCAAAAAGCAAGCGGCTTAACTTCATAAAGCGAACTTCTTGGATTCTTCCTCGAATCGTCCGTGATGCTCCAATAACTGGAGCCCGTACATTCTATACTGATGCCAATAAATCAGGGAAGGCAGGTTACAAATCAGAAGACTTGGATAAGGTGGAACAAAGTCCATATACTTCTGTCCAGAAGGCGGAATTATATGCCATTCTTATGGTGCTAAGGGATTTTAAAGAACCTATTAATATAGTTACAGATTCACAATACGCAGAAAGAGTTATTTTACATATTGAAACTACTGAATTTATACCTGATGATACTGAACTAACCTCATTGTTCCTCCAGGTTCAAGATTTGATCAGGAACAGGCTTTGCCCTATGTACATAACACATATCCGATCCCATACGGGTCTGCCAGGTCCTCTAGCACAAGGTAATGCAGAAATTGATCAATTATTGATTGGTAGTGTGCTACACGCCTCTGAATTTCATAAAAAACATCATGTTAATAGCAAAGGTTTGAAGAAAGAGTTTTCAATTACATGGCAACAAGCTAAGGAGATTGTAAAGAAATGCCCTACTTGCTCTTTCTATAACCAAACGCCACTGCCTGCAGGGGCTAATCCAAAGGGCACCCAAAGGAATGAAATCTGGCAGATGGATGTGTTCCACTTTGCAGAATTTGGCAAATTAAAATATGTACACCACACCATAGACACATATTCAGGTTTTCAATGGGCTACTGCCCTGAGCTCAGAAAAGGCTGATTCAGTAATCACACATTTATTGGAAGTTATGGCCATCATGGGTATACTTGCGCAAATAAAGACAGATAATGGTCCAGCATATGTATCTAAGAAAATGAAACGCTTTTTTGATTATTATAATATAAAACACATTACAGGTATACCAAATAATCCTACAGGTCAGGCAGTTATAGAAAGATCAAATCATACTATAAAGGATATGCTGAACAAACAGAAAGGGACTGAAAATACCCCCAGAAATAGATTACATAATGCTTTATTAACCTTGAATTTTCTTAACGCTAATGAGAAAGGAATGACAGCAGCAGAAAGACATTGGATAACGGAAAAGTCTGCTGAACTAAATCAACCGATTTATTTCAAAGATGTGCTGACCTCTCAGTGGAAGCCAGGAGATGTGCTACGTTGGGGAAGGGGTTTTGCTCTTGTTTCCACAGGAGAAGAAAAATTGTGGATACCATCAAAATTAAAAAAGTTTCGATTTGAAGAGGAGAAACCTCTTGGAAAGGAGAAATGACAACTCATCCACAACGATGATATTCATACAGGTGGTAAGAAAAACATATAGAATGGGGGCAGGGTTCTGTTCTTATCTCCACAGGAAAACACTCATCTTTGAGAAATTCAAGGGACCCTGGATGTTTGGATACTGACAGATGGAAAAATACCTGCCCAATAGGAAATATCAAGACAACTGAATGGGTTGTGTAAGTAATATTAAACCATATTTCTAAATTTATAAAGCTGGTTTTGAAGTTGGACTCTGGCTCAGTCCCTCTCCAATTCCAAGCCTGTTAGTAAGAGAAAAACCCAGAGTTTCTGGAGTTTCTGTCTCATGTCAAGAGCCATGATATGGGACAGAAAGAAATATGAGTTTAGAAAACATCTTTGCTTTTCTTCATATCTATCATACTTTTCATTGAATATATCTATCATGTCTTTCATTGAATATATATATGTCTATATATGTCTATATGATTAATGTTTAAGTTTTTCATAATGAACAATGAGTTTTTCCTGAAGTGACATTTGAAGTTTCCAGGAAGAAGATGGGGCCCCATAACAACAACTCCACCTGGTTGATATGACGTCATGATACTGATAGCGCTACTACAAGACCTGCTTTGGGTACCAGCTGCACAAGACAGTTCCAACTTGGTTAGCTGAAATGGTGCACATCTTATACAACATTTTGGCCAGACCTGCACGAAAATACTCAGAGACTATTTGCAATTTTAAAAGACATTATCTTGAAATTTAACCATCATTTTACTTTCACAGGATCCCCCAGAAAGAACGTCGCCCCCATGACAGCTGGAAGTAATTCTAGAGAACGACGTCCCCTCTCCCAGTAAAGTTTGCCCTTGGGTTTAGGGACATTATTTAGGGGTTGATTATAATTAGTATATGATTGAGGGTTGGGGGAGGAATTTTATAAGCTCAGGGATCATTTCGAAAAAAAAAAGAGGGATGATGGGATAATAGACAAATATATTGGTATAGATTCTTGTATATTGATACAAAGTTAAATTATATTGACTATTGTACGCATGCATGTTTCTACCTCTGTTTAAAACATTTTTATGTATTGACATATATTGTATTGATATATATATATATTGTATATATTTACCATATTGCAGTGTACATTTCTACCTCTGATTAAGATACTTATATAATATTTGTGTATTGATATATATTTACCTACTGCAATGTATATTTGTACATTGTTTATATTTGGAGGTCATTGTCCTACTTTGTTTCACAGTCGTTTATTGTCTTAGTCTTTAAGTTAGATAGATATTGAGAATTATATACACTAATTGTCATCTAAGTTTGTCATTTATAATTAGACTAATCAGGTTCTTTAGATATATAGAGATTATACTCAGTATAGATAGATAATCTTCAACCTCTTCAAAGAGCTGTAGAAAATGGCCTTTAATCTAACTCAGAGTTTCGTGATAGTGAGACACAATTGCTCCTGGCAACACCGCTCTATTCCCGAGAGAATGTTGAGCACCAAAAACACTCCACCTGGAGCCTTTCTATTTGGCAGAACTGGCCTTTGGGCAAAGAAATGCCCATACCTCAACCACTGACACAGATACAGAGCGTGCATCAATGGATAAAACAGGACTGTCATATCCTGCCAAGACAGGGTAAGATAGTTTTGAAAAGTTCCTTGCCTTTAATAATGGTATGTCAGTTATGTTAGGCCTTAGCCAAAATTGGTTGACTCAACGTTGCAAACGAGACTTTGGGTGATTGCCCAGGTAGTCAGTTGTCTCTGTCAATTGTTGCACATTTTGGATATATCTCGTTAGTTGAGTAGTGTTTATTCCCTTCTCAGATCTTTGACTGAGTTGAAGATTATATAATTGTAGTTACTCTTTACATTATTTGGACTTCTTGAGAATGTTTAGCAAAGCTTTTGTTCTCAATATTGTTTGTTGTATTTATTATTTGTTGTTATTGTATGTAGTTGTATTTGGTTTAGTTCTGTCTTATTTAGACAAAAAGGGGAGATGTAGGGATAAGTCCCGCCCCTTAAGGGGCGTGTTTGCCTCGGGCTAATGTCTGCCTATAAATTTGGCGAGCAAGCTCCGAGCGCTTGCTTCTGCTTTCCTGGTCTCCGCGGGAACGGTGGTTCTGTAAGTCTATTTCTACATTAAAGCTATATATATATATATATATATTTACACTCTGTCTGCATTCGTTTACGCCGCTACAGTAGTGGTGTTTGTGGGCCTCTTTGCCTTCTGCTGGCTCCCCAATCATGTCATCTACCTGTACCGCTCCTACCACTACTCTGAGGTGGACACATCCATGCTCCACTTTGTCACCAGCATCTGTGCCCGCCTCCTAGCATTCACCAACTCCTGTGTGAACCCCTTTGCCCTCTATCTCCTGAGCAAGAGTTTCAGGAAGCAGTTCAACACTCAGCTCCTCTGCTGCCAGCCTGGCCTGATGAACCGCTCCCACAGCACTGGCAGAAGTACCACCTGCATGACCTCCTTCAAGAGCACCAACCCCTCGGCCACCTTCAGCCTCATCAACGGAAACATCTGTCATGAGGGGTACGTCTAGACTAACCCTTCAACCTTGCCTCCTAAGGGACTCCAGATTTTGTTTTATGGATGGCCGGAAGCCCTGGAATCAGTTGTTATCTCTGGACCTTCCGAAGACCCTTCAGAAGGCTGAGTGATGCAGATGGGTAGAAGAGATGACCAAATGCATCAACTAGTATTGTATCTCAAAGTAAGCCAGTAGGCTTCCTTTTCCATCTCAGCCTGGGAGGGCTTTTTCTGATGGTGATCAAATTTTCCTTTAAAAAAGAAGGAACAAATTGGAAATTATTATTCAAAGCACCAAGTCCTGCAATACAAGTATGGTCAATTAAGTCATAGGAATTATATGAGCAAAGAGAGCCGAGAAACCACACACTGAATATCTACTCTGTGAAAGATTTTATTTAAACAGAAGCTGATTGCTTTCAAAACACGGCTTGACTCTTTTTTTCCAGAAATATCTATAATATGTAAACCAAGGGACAACTTTAATTTACATTCCTAAAATAAGAAGCCAACTCCAAAAAAGAGTCCCATGTATGAGGAATGGACTTCATTAATAACATTGGAAGCCAGTGTAATATAAAACAAACCTCTAAATATTGACTTTTAAAAAGATGTTGCTGAGGACATAGGAGAAACACCCAATATAAATTGTAAGGCACAATACAACCAAACACATGGCTCCATATATGGATATAGAGCAACAGTTTATGTTCTGACTTCTTGTTTCATAGGAACTCGGATTGTTAACCCAATTTGGGCTATTGTAGTGTCATTCTGCCATTTAGGTGAAATTTTTTTTTGCAGGGAAAATGTTCATTTTATCCAAGTAACAACTATTTATAAATGTATAAAGGATGGCATTTATTCTTGGTGTACATGTTTTGAATCCAGTACCTTTACTTAGGTTTAATTGTGTTTGCTATGGTGAAGCAGGAGTTTCAATATGAGGAAAATCATAACTGTAAAGAAGTAAAGTCATGTTTATATTGGATATATAGTTCCCCTAAAATGTGTGGAGGAAATTAATGTAGTTTTATTAATATGAATTTGTGTCTGAACATGTCTAAAAAACAGTCACAGAAAGCTTAAATTTTTGACCCAACCAAAAAAGGTACATATTTGTTTCTATTTTAAAAGACTGTGCATGAAATAGCCCACATGCAGATAAAGACTGGACCGGTGGCTCCATCTCTCTCTAAATGCATGGAAAGCACCCTGTAAAGTTTGGACTATCTTACTTGAGAAATCCTTCTTTGACTTTTTCTGAACTTAAAGAAGGGCCAATTCTGACAGACTGTGAATATGCAGACTCACTTGACTCTAAATCCAAGTTGTACAAGTGTTTCTTAATGTGTATCCCTTAAATCCTAAGGCAATTTTATTTCAAGCTTTCTCTGCCTGGGTGATATATAAACAGCAAGCACATAGCACATATAAAAAGCTTTCTGTCGGTTGATGCGGGGAAGTACTGGCTGGCTGTGGAGCTTTAGGCATTAGACCCAAGACAGTGTAAGGATCTGTGCTGCTTACAATTGTACCAGCTGGAACAAAATCTCTTCATTCCCGCCTTCTCTGGGCTTTTATGTACTATAAACACAAGCTTTCCTGGTAGTCCTTAATTACATTGCACTGTTTGAAAAGCGAGACAGACAGCAGAGGTTTAAAAAAAAAAATCAAGAAGACTTGCTATCCCAACATCACCTCTAGCTATATGACTTGGTTATCTGTTTTCGCTCCTCTAGGCTCCCTTTTCATGTTTAAAATGAGAAGACAGAGCAAAGTCCCTTCTATTGCTAAGACCCCCCTGTGTCTTTTTATTTCGTCCAGTTCTGTCTTGAACGCGCATCCATGTGGCATATCTCCTTACAGTTAGTACACTTATCTTTCTTCTATAACCAGAAATCACTGGAGACCCCTTACCCACTCTTCCATGCCCCCGGGTATATAGGTGGGATGAAAGAAGCTAGGTTGTTCTGCTACCCGAAGGCTTTTTGGCATCACTCACATGAGGAAAGCTCCACGAGCTTACAGGGTTTTAGAATTAGAGCTGAAAGCTACATAAAAAAATGTATGGCTCAGTCTTCTCACCATTCAAAGGGAACTCTTGCTCTTTGCTCTTCTTTAGCTTTCAAACACCTGCTCTATCAAAATCCCGGGTCACAATTTGCCTTTTTCTCAACCCTTCAAATCCCATGAGCATAAGTGGCTTTGTGTCTAGATAGTTGTTAACATAGACAGCCTTCCGGGATTACTAGAATTCTGGCATATGGAATTTGGAATTGTAGTTTTAGCTTCTCTGATAGACCTGCTTCTAGAGATGTTCCCGGGACAGGTTTCAGTCTCCTGTCTCCTTCAGTTACCAGGAGGTGCAGATTGTGCGTCTCTTCATTAGCCACTAGACAAACAGTGAGAAGATCAAGGCCTGGGTATTGCTGAGTGTTCTAAAGAATCTTGTTATTTCCTTGTGACTTGTAAATGAAAGAGTTCGGGGGGAGTTTTGGCAGCCAATGACCCAAAGTGATAAACCATAGAGTGAATTAAACAATGGGTCGAACCAGACCTTCTTATTAGCAAAGACTTCATTGGTCTGTTCTTTCTCTAACTACATTCAAGTTATATTTTAAAATCAAGAACCTAAAATCATATGAGAAACCTGAGACCCATGTAGTGTCCCTTCTGTGCCAGGACAGAACACATTGGGACTGGAGCTGAGCCATTTCATGCCTGGCTTCCAAAGATAATCACGTTTAGCACTTATGTCTTTGGCGAAGGAAAAAAAATCAATTTTTGCTGTGGAAACCCATCTGTGTTTATTCAATTGACAGATACTACCTTTCAATCTATCTTAAATTGAGCCTCCCCAAGGCAGGCAGCTCAACAGTGATAGATTAAGCAATAAACAAAGCAGTCTCCCCACCAAGGGCTGCTGCTGGCAGGGAAGATACAGCTGCCATTGGGAGGATAGTCTACAGCAAGATGATCCTCCCTGCTTAGGGCAGACAAGGCCCCTCCCTGCCGGTGATTTTATGATCCCCATAAATGGGCATGGCTCAGACCACTTCTGGCTGCTCTCGCTTCCCCACTGAATCGAGCTTTCTGCCTCATTAGCAAAGCCTCTTTGCCCCACTAATAATTTGGTTCTTCAACTTAGAGGCTGAAGAGCCCGTAGGGAAGCTATTTAGAAGCTGCTACAGACGAAGCCATGTCTCATCCTGGTTAGGAAAGTGCACACTGAGCACAAGTAAATGAACTAGACTGTGAGGTGTGGGAGAACCCGGGTTGTAAAGTTCATGTTTCCGCCAAGAGGAGCAGTTGGTTATTGGTTTCTGAGCCTCATTCTGTGTCAGCTGGCGTCTAGCAAAGGAGATTATCTTTGTTTAGAGAATGATGTGGGGAATGGCATCCTCACCTGTGGGCTAAAAGGTGACGGCTAAGTCACTTTCCTCAGAAGCTGGATAGAAACAATTGCCCTGAAGGCCTGACTGTATGAGGATTGAATGAACAAATCATGTTTTTTTTTTTTTTTTAAGGTGTGTGTCGGGGGAGATGTGCACTTTCTTGCCATTGGCTCTCTTCACATCGATACTAGAAGGGAGAGGTTGTGAGAGAACGGATTAGAATTCACCCTGGGGTTCAAGGAGGGGCAGAGCATATTTCACAAAATTCCTGTAACTTTGGCCCCTTTTTCGGGGAATGAGCTAACAGCTGAAAAGAAGCAAGAATGCCTTACTTTATGGGACAGATCTCTCTGGCTCTCTGCATCTGTCTTCTCTCTCTCTCTCTCTCTCTCTCTCTCTCTCTCTGCCTCCGTGCGTGTGCGTGAGCGCACACATGCTATTCAGTGAAACCACACTGCCCTAAACTCCTTCCGTCTGAGTCTGCACTGCTATTCCTCCCAGCCACACCTCTCCCACAGAACAGACACAACAACTTCAACACTGCTCCACTCTTGCTGTAACTTCGGCCTTCAAGGCCAGTGAGACAGCGCAACTGGTAAAGGCACTTACTGCTGAGTCAGATGTGCTGAATTTCACCTCCAGAGCCCATGTGGTTGAAGGCAAGAACTATCCCGCAAGTTGTCTTCTGACCTCCACACATGCACCATGGCACATGCAGGGGCCCTCCACGCAACCACCCCTCCCCCCACACATGTAGATAAACAGAAGTAATAAAAAGAAGGTTTGAAATGTTATAATTTGGGCCTTCGAAGACATCCTTTGTTAGACAAAGGAGGAGCAAGCATATGCTCCAGGAGAACATATATTATAGAGCACTCAACAAATAGCACACGAAGAACAAACTTGCCTTTTATGAAACCTCATGTTAGAAATGGCACTCAATGGAGTTGAAATATTTTCTTACAGTTTCAAGGTTGCACATGTATTCACTGTAGGAACCTTGGGTTAGATGATTACAGTCCATGATTAATTCAAAAGAATATTGCATTTACCTCATGTTCATGGTCTATAAAGTATTCTCACACGCATTACCTCATCAAATAAACGTGTTTCCCACTGACCGAAAAGACCATTTACATCCTTTAGTATGGGAATTTAGAAGTATTAAAGTCACTTACTTGTGACCATCTAGCACTGAATTAAAAGGTCCATGGAATCATGGGACTGAAGCATGAGCTGTCAAAATCAAACCACATTTGACCCACGAAAAGGAAAAGGCTGTTTCATCCACTGCAATTTAATGTGATTTCACTTTTCTCTGATCTGAATTAACCATTCTGAACGAGTCTGTGGCTCATTCTGTGAAAATGGCAGTCATTACTTCCCCAGTATCCAGGACGTTTTGATAACCCTAGAAAGAGACTCCTTACTTTGGTACAAGGGAGTTTATAGGGTTATTGTTGTCTGTATAGAAGCGGTAATAACTTCCCCTGTTATAAGGAAGTGTTATAATGGAGCTCCTAGGACTTAATACAAAGCTACTCTAGATATTACCCAAAGGCCTGACCTAGTGAGAGAATGAAAAGGGATCAGGTAAAGGACTCATTGAAGGCCAAGGCAGGGATGCAGTAC